CATTATATTATTTTATTGTATTTGTATATATTTGATTGTAATTTTATTTGGTGAAAAAAAACCTGAGTTAACAGGTTAACGAACCTGAGTGTAACGCCTCGGTGATACAAGACATATCACACCACACACCCAAGCTCGGCCGCGTTTCACGTTACACTATATCCCAAGCCTTATTCATGGCGGGGCATAGAAATGTCGTGTATGATTATTGGTTTACATAAAAAAAAATAGGTTGTGACTTTCTTTCGGAATTCAACACTAGCCTTAACCTACAATATGTATATACGCATGTACAAAAACATATCAACCCAACTTACATTCTCGGCTCAGAAGGAAGAGATTGTATTCATTTTAAACATGTTAAAAGGGGGGGGTATTACTTATAGTGATGAGAGGAAATTTAACCACGTGTCGGTCCATGAAACATGAAAGATTATTTTTGGAATGTTTGTATACAACTGCGTGGCTTTCTTTGAACTAAATTAGAATTTATTGAAATATTTGAATAATTCTTTTAGGGACACCGTGATATATTTGGTATTCTGTGTAATAACTGTTTGGATAAAGTGTCTTTTGAAGGTACAACACCTGTCTTTTAATATTACCAAAGGATTTGCTGAGCCTTTTTTCCGTATAGTCGAAATGCATGGGAGAAGGAAAAAAACCGTATGTGGATTGTTCAAATACAAATTAATGCGATTGTGTTTTTCATCTAAATTAACACGTTTTTTTTTCTTCTTCTCGTTTTTCTTTTTTATAAAATGCCGTGTGCTTTGTTTAAAAGCTTGTTCATAAGCGTTACGAATGTAAGAAGAGAAAACAAGACGTCCTCAAGCAATTTATTTCTAATGATGAAAACACCGAGGACGATGAAGATAATTAAGGTGAAACTATTTACTGACACCCTAGTATCTACATTTGATGTCACCAACATTAACAATGACTGACCGGAAGGAGGACGTTTGGGAAAGAATTTAAATTGATATTTTATTGTTGAGATACTGGTTAATGATAAGTAGCATTAACAAATTTTCAATTTTTTAAAAATCGTATTCTGAAACTCTGGATGTATTTTGGCCGTTATCTTCTATGCAAAAGTGCATATATGTATATTTATACTTACATTGGCTGTACATGTACAAGCATGTAAAATCTTGCAATGTTGAGAAATTCTGTATATTCAACGAAAAAGTATAAACAGTGCGACATTTAACTCCGGACACGACATTTGTCCGGACTTTCGCCAACCACTTTTCCAAAGATACATAGAAAAAATTTATGTCATCCGGTGGGATTTTTTTAATCGCACAACATGGACTAACCCTTACACCTGAATATCTTCCAGTTTAAAAGATATTACACCTGAAATCAAGAAATCCCATGGGATTATGGTGGGATTTTCTCTCCTAACCAATATCCCACCATTATTCTGTGGGAGAAAAATGAGTTCTGTGGGATTTTTTCTCCTATAGAATCAAAATTCCCATTTTTAACCTTACATGGGATTTTTTATCCCATAAGTTGTGAAATGGGACAAGAAGTTCCATAATTGTCACAAATAGGATTAAAAGTTCTCTATCATAATGTTTTATAGAATATATTATCCTACAGGAGAATCAAAATTGTTTTTATCTCTTTAATTTTTCCCTTTGAAAATTTCAGTCATAACTCTTTCCATTTATCATTTAATATTTAGAAAGTACATGCTATTGCAAGCAAAATAATACCAAATTGGCAAAATTTCATTGAGGAATAAAAAAGTTATGACCATTCAAGAGAACACAGCAGTACGATTAACAGAGAAATTTGGCATGATCATTGATGATGGATTCTCCCTATGGAAATTTCAGTCCTCTTACAATTCATCATTTTACATTTAGAAAATACATGCTATTTGCAAGCAAAATAATATCAAATTGGCAAAATTTCATTGAGAAATAAAAAAGCTATGCTCTTCCAAGAGAACACACCAGACATAAGTACAATTATCAGAGTAATATGACATGATGATGGATTCTCCTTATGAAAATTTCAGTCCTTTTACAATTTATCATTTTACATTTAAAAAGTACATGCTATTGCGAGAAAAATAATACCAAACTGGCAAAATTTCATAGAGAAATAAAAAAAGTTATGCTCATTCAAGAGAACACACCAGTCCGATTGACAGAGTATAACATTATGATGGATTCTCCCTATGAAAATTTCAGAACTCTTTCAATTTATCATTTTGCATTAAGAAAATACATGCTATTGCAAGCAAAATGATACTAAATTGGCAAAATTTCATTGAGAAATAAAAAAGTTATGCTCATTCAAGAGAACACACCAGACTTAAGTACAATTATCGGAGTAATGTGACATGCACACCAGTCCGATTGACAGAGTATTACATGATGATGGATTCTCCCTATGAAAATTTCAGTCCACTTACAGATTATCATTTTACATTTAGGAAGTACATGCTATTGCAAGCTAAATAGTACCAAATTGGCAAAATTTCATTGAGGAATAAAAAAGTTATGCACATTCAAGAGAACACACCAGTCTGATTGACAGAGTTTAACATGATGATGGATTCTCCCTATGAAAATTTCAGTCCTCTTACAATTTATCAATTTACATTTAAAAAGTACATGCCATTGCGAGCAAAATAATACCAAACTGGCAAAATTTCATAGAGAAATAAAAAAGTTATGCTCATTCAAAAGAACACATCAGTCCGATTGACAGAGTAATTAACATGATGATAGATTCTCCCTATGGAAATTTCAGTCCTCTTACAATTTATCATTTTACATTTAGAAAGTACATGCTATTGCTCTTATTCTATATTTTGTGTTGATGTGCAGTGCTAAGTTTGAACTATTTCGTAAGATTTCAATACATATTTATAAAAAAAAACTGAGATGCTTGATATTAAACAACAGTGCAAGTTTCCCTTTTTTAGTTTATTTCACAAGTTCTGCATCTATGTGAAATGTACTGTTTGTACACTTTGAATACAATATTATTGGTAGGAATGTTAAGTAGTTGTGTACATACTTTTCACACAGAACTTACATTTGGAATATCTTTAACGATTTTGTTTTCATTCCATTTATTTCTTCAATTTCACATATAAATCGTTCGTGGATGAGCAACATGTGATCTCTAGGATAACATTAAAACATGTACATTGATGATATACAATATAAAGTACACATTAATTTCTTTATATACTAACAGTTCTAAGAATACCTCTTCGATTATTTACTATTATTTAAATCAATGATCTATAAATTGTGATTTTTCTCAATAAAACTTTCAAAAAAATTCTTTTTCGTCCAAAGTTTCTTAAATTAAAAGTTACACTGGCTATTATTGTTTAGATGAAAAAATAAATCAGGTAAACATAAAGACCATAAGTATTTTAAATCTATAACTTATGTACTAGAAAGGGACATAACTCTGTAGAGAGTGTCGTATTATGATTAGTGTCCCAGATCGGGCATATATATTCTTTTAGCTAAAGTTCAAGCTATTAAATTTTATAAATGATACATTTTTATATTATCGATAAAAACAAAAATAGGACATACTCATAAACGCTTCACAAGACCCCACTTCGAGATATTGACTCTGTTGACTTCTAAACGCTTTAGCTTTGGACGGAACTATATTTTTGGACGGGGTTGTCGATCCTAAGATAAGCTCAATGTGATTTTTTTTTTAAATGTATTTGTCATCTGAGTTTTATTTCACAGAAACAATTATCAACTTCTGTAGTATAACCTGTTTTTTCCTAATTTTGCAGTAAATGTTTGAATACTAATAAAGCAACTTAAGTCTGCTGTTAAACCTAACCCCCCCCCCTTCCCTTGCTAACATCCAAGAATCCAATATCTTCACCCCAGATCTCGATAGGGTATGATACATGTATGTATATACCTAGAGGCAATTAAGAGTCTTTTGTTTTCCCCGGGTAGCAAAACTGTCACAATTTGCTTGGAACTAACAAAACATACACAGGGGATATTAACACTCAGAGAGTCGAATTAACAACTGAATCTCATGAAAACAAACTCCATGCTTTACCAAACCTCCGGATTGATTAAGTCATAACTTTTTTTTTTTATTTTCAATTTAAAAATTAAATCCAACATTTTTACGCCATTCATAATTGATAGCAAACAATAAATATAAAATTGTATATATCCCCCCCCCCCCCTTAAGGACAGATAATACCAACTTTTGTCAAAAAAATTGAAAATATAAACTTGAATCATGTTTATGAAAGTAAAATGAATACTCGTATAATAGCTTTTAATTTTTCATTCTACGTTTCACAAAAAAGGGATTTGAAGAGATAAAATTTTATAGGTTACTCGCTATTGATTATCACATGAAGGATATTTGGTGAATGATACGATTTTGAACATCATACATGTAGAAGGTTAACAATATATCAAAATGCCGTGAAGAAAAAGAAGACGGGGCTTTATTGAGGCTATGTACTGCTGACTGGACTTTCAAACGCTGACCATGCAAATAAAGTTTTCTTCATTTCGGCAAGGGAAACATTTTATTTTAGAGATACACAGAGACTACCCCCCCCCCCCACCACTACTCTTCTCCTTCTTATCATGTTCTCAATGATTATGATCGATGTCCGATTATATTAAAATGTTAATATTTTTGGTATTGGATATTTTAAATACCATTATTTAAATTTTTGTTGTTGTAAATACTACCATGGGTATTACCCATGGTAGTGTTTACAACAAGAAAAATCTGAAAAAATAGGCCTGATAATTTATTTCATTTCTTTTTTTTTTTTGCTCGTTAACTGTGTATTGTCTAAATTAAAAAAAAGATAAACCAGTAAATAAAAAGAAGCAGCAATATTCTATCTATGGATTCACTTCTTAAAAATTCTGTGCAGAAGGATGCATTTTTAATAATATCCCTAGAATTACCCAATGCCAACCAAGGAAAATAAAAAAAAACGGCGACAAGTAGCTATTCCAATTGACGCCATTTTGATTTTAAAATAGTAACAACCGGAAGCACTAGGTAGCCATTACTGCATGCGATTTGTGGAAGGATATTGGATCTTATAGTTAAATCGTGGTAAGTAGTATTTAATGGACTTTGTTGTTGATGACAGTGATGTGTAAGGTATTTTTGTGATTGGATATAGTTTGTGCTTTGTCAAAAAGATGTTAAAACCAGTTCATTTATTTTAAATCGATGAAGAACAGGTAAATTATATTTGCACGAGAAGGTCGCTGCGTTGGTATTTTCTTTGATTCCTTGGCATCATGAAGAAATATCACAGATGTAAACATTTTAAATGAATTTTTTCATGCTATTAATCTTTATTGAACTGTAAAATATTTTCTGTAGCATTGCACATTTTCCCACGTATTTTTTAAAGAGTAGGAAGATTGGTCAACACAGAATGTTTCTTTAAATCGAATTACCTGCCTTGATATAGTCTATTTCTTTTTCGACTAATCACAAGAACATGTATTTTTACATACATATGGATGTATAGAAGGCAATTGGACAATGGACTTCTGAATTAAAGTTATTATAAATATTTCTTTCTAATTTTAGGAGTTCTATTGCTCGCTACGCGAGCGGCGCTTCGCGCCGCCTCGCTGCGCTCGCTATTATAAATATTTTTTTCTAATTTTAGGAGTTTAGAAATTACAGTGACACATTGTGAAATTACAGAGTGACTGAAATTTCCATAGAAGGTAAACACATGTTTTGTCAAGAAAGCATTAACTGCTTTTATATACGTATCATATTTTTATTTCATATTTTTTATTTTCTTTCGTTCAATGTCTTCGTCTTTTATTTTTAGTTCAATTTTCTTCATCTTTTATATTTAGTTTATTTTCTTTGTTTTTTGTGTGTGTCAATCTTCATTTTTGTTTTGTTTGTGTTTCATTTTGCACAGCATTTATGGTAAAAATTCATTTAACAATCAATTTTGTGCACATATATATAATCCTTCCGTGACGTCATCTACCATCTTGCTTTCTACCTTCCTCTGACAACTACATCATGACTGAGTCAAAACTTTTGAAATTTTTAAACCTTCCCGCACCAGAACCATCTGGAAAAAAAATATACCAGCCTGTTGTCCTCTCTGATAGTAAGGGAAAATGGCTCGAAAGAGCAATAACGACTAAGTGTGACATTATTTGGTTTTCTAAAAGTGGCGCGAAGATTGAGGAAAGTACTGAGTGGCTCAAAAGAAACCTAGATAACAAAATCGGGAAATATGGAAATGTGTGGCTTTATGTCTGGTTAGGTACCTGCAATTTGACCAGTAGAAACAATAAGTACATTAGTCTGAACCAAAATAAAAATGAAGTCGTAGAAAATATTCAAACAAAATTTTATGAGATAATTAAAATTATGAATAAATATCCCTGCTCCAAAGTCACCATCTTAGAAGTACCACCTTACTCAATAAAAGCATGGAATATAAAGAAAGGACACCCAAACCCACAAATTTTTGAAGAACAAGATAAGGAACTAGAAGAACAACTTTTTTAAATTAAACAACAAAATAAAAGAAATCAACTCCAATCTTAAAACCCATTCACCAGCATTTTCTGTAGATCTACACAAAACCTCCAAAACAAAATCAGGAACAAAGAAAACATCAAAACTCAGGAAATTTACTAACTTTTCCCTTTTGGCCGATGGAATTCATCCAGGAACATTAATTGCCAAAGTTTGGTTGAAAAAAATCAGAGATCAATCTATAAGAGACTGCTGGGCCTGAGGAAACACACCAAGATATACAGATCCCAAGTCTAATATTTGTCCAGTTTGCAGGCAAATGACTTGGTAGGGAAAGAAATTTTGCATACAATTATTTTATCTTCAATAATGATAATTTTACACTGTTTCACAAAATTGCATGGCATTTAATAACAATTTTTTAAAGCATATCCTTTAAATAAATTTACAAGATGTCAAATGGCCATAGTGATCAGCTGAATAATAAAACAGTACAATACAACAATGTAAAGGATCTACCGGTATAAAAGTAAATATGTAAAAGACAACTCATGGGCAAAGAAGAAGATTTTCCAAGTAATAATGCATTTTTATTGTATGATTACTAGCTAAATCTCCTCTCTTCCTCCAGAATCCCTGTCAATTTAGAACTTAATTTTGCTAAAGGGCTCTGTAATTATTACATTAGTGCCAAAAGTGTGACTGTTGTCCAAGCATAAAGAAGAAGATTATTTAAAGATTGCATTAATTCTGATGGTTTTGCTCCCGTCCCATAGGCTGCGGGGGTGGGCATGAAATTCACAATGTTTGACTGTTTGTTTCCCTTTACCCACAGATGCTATATACCAAAATTGGTTGTCACTGGTTCAGCAGTCCCAGAAAAGAAGCTGATGATAATAAAATGTTCACACACAATGCACAATATAACACACAAAAAAGATAGAAGACTGAAGTATATATACGTACACAGATGACTTAAAAAAGGGAACTTTTATAAGTCAATTCAGAATTTAAGAAAATATCCATAATTGTCTAACAAGAGAAGCATATTACTCATTTATTAAAGTAAAGTCTTTGCTTTCATTATCAAAAATACTAGGAATTGTGGAAATAAGTCAAAAAATTTCAACGGCTGAAAAGGTTGAATGTAAAATAATTCATTAGAATCGTAAAAATGGATATTATTGAATTCTTTCAAGTAGTAAAAAGTCACAATATTTCATTTTCTTTCAATTTACTATTTCAACAATTTGAACATACATCAGTCGATCTGTCTTCTTTCTTATATGATGCATTCATAACTGTCTATTGTAATTATTAATGGAAGTATGTTTATGTCTTGTGCATGTTTTAAAATGTTCATACATTGTTTATGTTAATGTTTTTGGTGTAAGGTGTATTGCCTAAATGTTCATTTGAAATGTATGTAATATCTATTTAACTTAAAATATTTATAACTGTATCAGCCATACTTCTAAATTTTATATATATTTAATTACTTATTTATGGCTATAAATAAGAACATCTATGAATTATATTTTACATTGTATAATTGTTTAATAAACTAAGGAGCTGATAAGAACAGGTTTATAATCTCTAAACAAACGATATTTTAGGTTGTGTACTGGGATTATAAAGACTGGATGAATGACTGTGAGTTTCAGTTAAGAGAGAGAGATCAGAGCTGAAGATTATTTACTACATTTTGAGAAATAGACTATAGAAGGTATGAAGTAAGAGTTATCTTTCATTATAAGAATTACTCCTTCAATAATGAGATTGAGTTACTGCCCTTTGGAGCCAACTTCCACTTGAGGTAGAGGTTATTAGAAGTAATTTCAATAACAATGTGAAGGACAATCAATGAAATTCTTCCTATTTATAACTAAGTTCTGCACTTTAGGACCTATTGATGATCATTATATTACCAATGTTTTCTATTTAATTTTTAGGTGGAATAGCTACGACAAGAGATTATGAGGATATTGGAATTTCCACATGATGTTGACAAAGACCTGCTCTATTTTTGTAAGTAGATTTAGAATTATTGAATTTGTTATTTATTTCATTAAAAACATGTTACTACATGGATCATAGATTTTTTTTGGACTAAAGATCTAGTATAAGATCATCCCGTTGGCGTTTCCTCTGATTTTATAAACAGACTTACAGTGTCTTCAGATGTTATGAATTTCTGTCACTGTAAAGTGTTTGCAAAGCTAGCAGTCTAGTCGATGGGGATATTCAGTAGTACATTATACAAGTTAACAAAGTAAATAATCGTCAGAAAATTATACACATCCGAATATTATCCTTTCGTTCGAATTTCCTCAATGACAATTATAAAATAACGTTGTAGTACTCGTTCGTTCGAATATTCTCAATGACTTGAATGTGTACACAAGCTGGTGATTGTACTTAGAAATATATTGTCATGTCTAACTTTGTCTGTAATTTGCAAGTTACAGTTTATAAGTATCTTGATCATTGTTGATTACAGTCATCAGCATTACTGATTAGAAAATTAATTATTATCTTCTCTCAGACAGGTTAAAAGTATTCTTCTACTGTAGTGTACTATAGGGATTAACAAACATTGCGTGTGTTGCAAGTACTATTTCCTTTTTTTCTTCCCCTATTTGTTTTTTTTTTTTGGCTGTCAACAGGTTGGGACCAATCGCCCAAATGGGATATACTATTTTTTAATTAATGATTATTACATGTCATGATGGACATAACTAATCACCCAAAAACTCATACTTATATTGTTTGGAAGTATCCAAATATCAAATTACTTAATCTCTGTTAGAAAATTTGCTGATCCTCTGAAGTTTACATAAGACATGTACCCACATGATTATTGATATAATCAATTATTAAAATGTTTTTTTTTTTTTTCAATCTCTGAAAATTATACATCTGTGTGCATGTTGATCCTTATGTCTAAGTAAATATTAAAAGGCACAAATGCTAAGACTTTTTTATTTTACATATTTATTTGTAAAAATATTTTTATTACTTTGAAATGAAATAAAAAACATTCTAGCTTTATTACTAATAATAATGATTTTTTATTAGAATTGATAGGGAATTGGATGTTTAAGAAATAAAGTTCACTTTTTCGTGAATGTTGCAGTATAACCTGAATTGTTAATGTAGCATAGATTTAAATTACACAAGGACTCCCATGCCAATTTCAATAGTCATCGCCCACTGACTTCAAACACAAAGGTAGCCGCACAAGAATTACATGCATATTAGGCCTCCTAAGCGTCAGACAGAGATGGGTGCACATGAGATTTGCCTTCTTAGCTCCTGACCTATTGACCTGCCTAATTTACATTCCCGTAGAATTATCAGGAAATCAACTCTCCTAACTTTCAAAGAGTTACCACAGAGAAAAATAAAGTGCCCTGCCACAGCATGATATGTCCGTCAAATATTGTTCAATAATCATTAAATTGGTTAGAGTGAAAGAAAATCAGATAACCTTGATTAACAGATTGACACAGATTTCAATGATCTAATTTCCATTTCTTATCATGTTGAAAATATTGTACATATACATCTCTAAGAGACTTACAGTGTAGGGATTAATTATAACTAATAATACATCATATAATTTTAAATTGTGTTAGAGCTTAACAAATATCTATATGCAGCTTTAAATTGTTTATTGAATATTTTGTGAAATAATGGAAATGCTACAGGCTAATAAAAAAATAAAAAATCAATCATATTCTTTAGACTATAAAATTCTAAGTGAGACATGACTGAAATTTGTTGCAAATATATATAAATAAAAATTGAAATGTAATTTTTTTTTTTCAATGAACACATTGTATAATTAGCTTTAATTATATTATACAATACTAATTTAGTTTTAATCATTCACTAAAACATTAATTTCTTTTAATTACATTAAATCAATTGAAAGATCTTTATCTGGAATATGGCCATCAAGAACTCTTAATTAATACAAGCAACTATGAGGTCACAGTGACCTTGAAATAGGCTGGACAGGATTTTTCCATATTTGGCCATATCATCTTTATTAAAGGTCAGAGCAACCTACTTTTTGTGCGTGTCACACCGTCTACCCAAGAAGTATTAGTTGACAATCCTAGGCCTAATAGTATTCAATTTATGAGCCGGACATGAATGGACAGATGGACGGACGAACATGAAGCCTATATGCATGTACATAACATAATACGTCCCGTCTTAAGACAGGCGTATAAAAACAGACATGGAAATATGGCATCATCTGACATCATGAAAAATTCTCAAGGGCACAAAACTACTATTATAATAGTACAGATACTGGTAAATGTATGCAGAGCATGCACAAAGTTTCATTTATGGTATATTTAGAGATGAAAATAATTAATATTTTTATACTTCAACCTCTTTAGGGTGAATTTTAGTGTCACCAGTCATTTTGGCTGGATTGAGAAATTTGAGTGATCGATTGATAGTTTGATACTCAACATGTTCAATTCATTTTCTAAATTTGGTGAAAATTTAATCCATGCTTTGTTATTATACATGTAATTGATATTGTATGATTTATTCTATTTTTTCCTTTAACAAAAAATGAAGATATATATATACTGACATAGTGTACATGTACCTTGAAGATTTGTCCCCCTTGTAAATACAAGAAATGCAAAGGTAATTCTTTATGAGAATAGAAAGAATTAAGGAATACAATGTAATAGAATTTTTCAAACCATACAACAAAAACTACTTTGAATAATTAATATGCAACCAACCATTTACAATCGAATTCTGCAGTTTTATTTCTTAAATATTGAAAAAAATCAAATTTGATAATTTTTAGCTCACCTGAGCCGAAGGTTCAAGTGAGCTTTTCTGATCACATTTTGTCCGTCTGTCAACTTTTCACATTTTCGACTTCCTCTTAAGAACCAATGGGACAATTTTAACCAAACTTGGTACAAAGCATCCTTGGGTGAAGGGGAATTTAAATTGTTAAAATGAAGGGCCAGGTTCTCTCACAAGGGGAGATAATTAAGAAAGACAAAAATAGGGTGGGGTCATTAAAAAATCTTCTCAAGAACCACTGGGCCAGAAAACTTGACACTTATGTGGAAGCATCCTGGGGTAGTGTAGATTCTAAATTGTTCAAATTATGACCTCTGGGGGTTGTCGGTGCCACAATAGGGAATCAAAGTTTTACATAGAAATATATAGGAAAAGTCTTTAAAAATCTTCTTCAAGAGAACCACTGGGCCAGAAAAGCTGAAACTTATGTGGAAGCATCATGGGGTAGTGGGGTAGTGTAGATTCTAAATTGTTCAAATCATGACCCCTAGGGGTTGGGCGGGGCCACAATAGGGAATCAAAGTTTTACATAGAAATATATAGGAAAAGTCTTTAAAAATCTTCTTCAAGAGAACTACTGGGCCAGAAAAGCTTAAACTTATGTGGAAGCATCCTGGGGTAGTGTAGATTCTAAATTATTTAAAATCATGACTCCTGGGAGTTGGGCGGGGCTACAATAGGGAATTAAATTGTCCAAATTAAGACCCATGGTTAAGAATTGCATGGTCAAAGCTTCTCAGGTGAGCGATGTGGCCCATGGGCCTCTTGTTTTAGCTCTACTGGTCAGAGACCAGAAGAGCTTATGAGATAGGAAGGTGTCCCTTTGTCTGTCCATCTAGCTGTCCATCCGTTGTCTGTCCGTGGCGTCTAGTTGTCTGTCTAGCTGTCCATCTGTCTGTAATTTTTCAAAACACTACTCCTCTGTTTTATTCTGATTTCAATATAACTTGGCACACAAGTAGACTGCACTAAGGTACATAGTGTATTTTTGTTTTTTTTTATTTTAATGAACGGTGCTGCCATGGTTACTAAAAATAGAAATTTCTGTATAAAAATTCCTTTAAAACGCTACTCCACCTACAATTTTGGTATGATTTCAATGTAATATGGTACACAAGTAGACTACACTTAGATACATAATTCTATTTAATGCTGTCTGTTGCAAAGTTTCAAATCCAAGTGCTTCTTTTTCTTTGTTATGCATACAGACCAGTAGAGCTACAGTCTCATCAGAGACTTCTTTATTATCCTTTTCATCACACAGCAACTTTCTTTTTTTCAGTATACACAGATATATACATATACACATAAAAGGAGACATCATCTCATGATCTGTGGATCCATTGAAAACTTTAAGGACAAAACTGTTGATAATTCATTCATGTAAAGAGTGTTGACTTGAATATTGAATATCTAATGAATGGAACTAAGTTAGAGAATTAGTTTAATAAGTATTGTATATTACTCTTTTTATTCATCTGTCAAATTTCTTAATTAAAAATTAAACTTAGGCGTAAATAAGGATTTTTTTCATTATTTTAATTAGAACAAGTTCTTTAATCTATTTTCCTCTTACATAATTGATAAACAGGCATTTAAGGTCATGCGCAATGTAGTTTGCACTTTATTGGGTTCTTCCCTGGAGTTGAAGAGTTCCACTAAAGGAAGGACCTGTGTGCAATATTTTTATTGTCTATATAAGGATTTGTAAATCTCCTCTAAAACAGTTTTGATGAAAAAAAAATCTGGAATTTATGTTTTGTAATTTTTGCACATTTTTCTTTGAATAATGCAAAAATTTTCAAACTTTAATATCTTTTCAAAATCCCTGGAAATGTATGCTGATTTTTTGTCTAAAAATATGTAATATGGTACATGTATTATAAAATTAAATTTAGAATTTCTTGAAAAATTATCAGTAGGTAAGGTACCTTGCATATTTC